TATATATTGGAATTTTTTTAAATATAATGTTTAATTTTTTATATTTTTTATTTGTTTTATTATTTTATATAATATAATTTAACATCCTCACTATTAATCCCTTACTATCAATCCTCACTAACAATGCCCTCACTATTAATCCCCTCCATTCTATCTCTGAAAACAAACGGACTTTACCCTCTCCATATCCCACAGTCAAACATGGCCAAAATGTATATTTGGTTACATTCCTATATATATTTTGGGCCACTTTTATTTTGTGGATAAGGAGGGTTGTTGATGGGGATTAGTGGCATTGTCCTCCCATTGTCACCAATTCTCCAAGTTCCTTGCTTGATTGGGCTATATAGTCTGAACTAGTAGTATGACTAGTTTGTAAAAAATAAAAAAAATTCTAATCCCCTCACTATTTTTCTAATACCATCTCTACCTCCTCCTTACCAATCCCCCTTCCAAGGGGACTACTAATAGCAAGAGACTAATAGTCCCCTCCCCATCTCTTAAAATAAACACTCCATTAGTAATATCAAGAGATTAGTAATCTCAATCCCCTCCCTATAACCCCAAACAAACGGGGCCTAAGAGGTTTCTAATTTCATAGGCCCAACCCAACATGTTCCCCTTGCCCCATGTCACAAACCATTGTTTGGTTTCATTTTTGTATCCAGGTATATGAAAGCAGTCCATATCCCAAAAATCATAAAAAAAAAATACCATCCCAAGGATATATGTATCCTCACATTCCTTCCATCTAATGACCACAAATAATATTTAATTTTATCCCATTTTTTTATCTGATCGTAACCATATATATCCCATAATGTTAAGACTCACTAACTAATGTATCAACAAACATACCAATTAGACACAATGTTTGCACATGAGTCCCACCACTTTGCATGAAACCCATTTAACATTGTTTCTAATTGATATGTTTATCGGTATATTAATTAGTGTGCCTAGCATTATTGACAACTGTCTCATAAAATATATAATCTCATTCATATCTTTAAATAGTACTAATCTCATCCATAATCCTTCAATATTACATTTCCACGAATCCAATCCATATGGGATGTATTAACTTACATTGGAGACCATTCTAAGAACAATTCCACCAAATTGAATGAGTATTTATCCCCAAATATGCCCAGCCACCAATGTTCCCACGGGGTGTATATAATCAAATACGTAGGGTATCACTGATGTGAACTAATACAACCTAGATGCAACTTGAAATTAGAGTACATTATTCAAAAATGAAAAGCAAGCCATAGCTAAACAATAATTGGTATATAAAAACAAACTAAAATATAGTGTTTGTGTCAGATAACAAAAGGTCAGCACAAATATATCAGACAGGGATAACTGTGATGTTTTTTTTTATCATCATCCACAAACACTAGAGAAATATATAAGCAACAAAATTAAGAAGCCAAATGTTTTACAAGACAAAAGGGACACCAATGGGAGCTATTTATTTCCATTAAAGTTTTGAAACTTTTCTATCATAAAATAAAAACGAAAACCAATTTCAAATGTTTCATGTTCACTTAATTTAATCGATAAATACAAATATACAAAGTGATACGAATGACAAATAAACAAATGCATAATACAAATGTACTGCAAGGTGCAAAAGCCTCAGACCGTCCTAGTTCAAGAATTTCAACACCACAGCAAATATTAAAAACTTGCATTTCGGTCAATTTACAATTTGTCATCATTGGCTAGCAGCTTCAGATTCAAAACTTGGAAATCTGGGAACAAGTGGAAATTACAATTCAGTGGCTCTTTCACAAAATAATTACAGATTCATGGAAAAAATTATGACTTTAATTATTAATGTTCATAAAGTTTACCACTTATCTGAACTTATTTTTAAAAAATTATACTGAATTGTAATTTCCCAAAAAAAAAAAACAAAGCAAGTTAACAGTAAGAAAGTTTTTCACCTAAAAATCTTATTATAGTTTACAAAATCATAAATGAAGAGATTAAACATCTGAAAATTAAACAAAAAACAATGATGGCAATGCAAAAATGTAAGACTTAGAGAGGTTCCAGCACAGCACTGAATAAATCAGACAGGGATACTGTATAAGGAAAGTTGCTCCTCATTTTCCACAGCTTTCACAGGAAACAAACAGAAAATAAAACAAAAGGAGAGATCATCGTAAAATAAGGGATGAGATGACAGGATTTAAACGCAAATGTAAATAATAATTTAAAAAAATTGCTCAGATCACCATTCAGCAGAGACGTAGAGACAGCAGAGGCACAAAGTAGGAAACGGCGAAGCATTTTGGTCCCTAGGGTTTTCACATGCATCATAAAGGTTAGCCAACGGCTCTGCAATTAACAAGAGAGAAGCGAGATTTAATCGTACGGCCAGGATTTTGTGTTGAGACAGATTCTTTTTCTTTTTTTTCTTTTTTTTCAATAAGATAGGATGTTACTCCAAGATAAGACGCAAAATGCCTCGTAAAAGTAAACCCAAAAGTACTATATAAGGGTAGGCGCGGGTCGGTTACAGTCACGGAATCTCTAATTTGTCATTCGTTCATCAAATTGACGGATTGAAGAAAATTAATTCGTATTCGTCCGTCAATCCGACGGATGTGGATTGAGTGAATTGGCGGTTTGACGGTTTGACGGCTGGTTGCGAATCGGTTTAGCGATTTAAAATTTATAAATTTTTAACATAATTCAACTTGTGCACTTCCTTAAAAACAAAAAAGAAGAAGAAAGTATTACAATTTATGACTTAAAAAAATATTACAATCACTACATGCCTAAGAAAGTTTGAAACTTTAGAATATCACAATCACTGCATGCCTCATCCACATAAAGTATTATAATCTGTGGTTCTTAAAATATAAAAATAATTCAAATCACAGAAACCATGAACAGAGCAGTAGTAGAGATTGTATGGCTCTGTATTGTTACATCTATTTCTGTTTTTGAAAACAAAAACCAACCAGCATATATCATATTTTCTATTTATTATTTTTAGAGATAGATTTAAAAATCAAAAAATATAGATAAATAATACATTTATTTTTTTCAATTCAAAAAAGATATTCAAGTTGAAAAAAAAATTTCAACAGAATATTTAAACTCTTTTTTAATTGAAAACGCAAACAAAATATTTAAACAAACTGAAAACACAAAGTCTTATAAATTACTAGGGGTGTTCGCGGTTTGGCGGTTCGGTTGCGGCCAAAGAAATCTCAAATCCGTCATCCGTCCGCCAGATTGGCGGATTGGAGAAAATCAATCCGCAATCGTCTACTTGTCATCACGCATCCGTCCAAAATGCGGCGGATTGGTTCGGTTTTGTTGGTTTTGGCGGTTCAGTATATCCGCTGCTCACCCCTAATCTATATTTTGTTTAATTAATTTAGTTATTGTGCACTTTAACTATACTTTTTATTATTTTAATTAATTAATCAAGAAAAATATTATGAATTCTAAATAATTTATTAAATTTTTTATCAAATATCTCATATGTACGTGGGACTCACACAATTTTACATATGTATAGGTCTCATGCTCATATGAAAAATTTGGTAGATTATTTGGGACCTTAGCACAACTCATAAATCAAACTAATTTAATTAATTTTTTTTATACATGCTCATATGAAAAATTTGGTAGATTATTTGGGACCTTAGCACAACTCATAAATCAAACTAATTTAATTAATTTTTTTTATAAAAATAAGGCAAATTACAAAAATGGTCCCCGTAGTTTACTCGTGGTTTCATTTTGGTCCCTACACTTCTAAACGTATCAATTTTGCCCCTGCAGTTTGGTTTTTGGCTCGAACTGATCCAATAGTTAACCGCCGTTGGGATTTTGGACAAAAATTCCACGCGTACGAGGAACGCACAAGACAATTTTGATTTTTTTGACTTTCTTGAACAATTTTGACTTTCTGTTTTGTTTAATTTCATTATTTAATTATTATTATTTTTTAAATAAATTTATTTAAACTTTTAATTAAAAAATAACATATATTTTTATTGATATTTTATTTATTTGCACATTTATCCTTATCCAGTCCGTCTAACCAAACATTAGATTCACTAAAAATAGTCATTTTTAGACATCTAATCCCATGAGAAAACAAACATGGGATACACATCCAATCCAACCAAATAGTCCGGGAGATTCACAGTCTTAGGATTCAAGTCCGATGGATTCTAATCCCCCATTTTCTAATTGTTTACTAAGTAATAGCATGATGGTAAAATAGACATTTCACACATTAGTCTCATGGGATACTAGTCTCATGAGAATAATCTCACCATGCCAAGATTGTTTAGTCCCTCATATGAGGGATATGGAGCCCGACGGACTAAATTATTAATAAAAAATAATTTATTAACAACCATCCGGATCAAACAATGGATAAACAATAAAAAAATATAAATTTTAAATTTAATTTTAATTTTAATTTATAAGGCCATAAATTTTAATTTATTATTTTTAATTAAATTAAATTTATAGTTTATAATTTATAATTTATATTTTTTATTAATATATAATTTTAAATTAACAACACTAAAAAAATAATTTATAAATGTTTATATTTTCTATTAATATATTTATAAATGTGTATTTTAATAATTTAGTCCGCCGGACATAGAGTCCGGCCGAACTCTATATCCCTCGTATGGAGGACTAAACAATCCTAAGGGAGGATTATTTCCAGAGGATTGGTATCCTATGAGACTAATATGTGAAATGTTTATTTTACCGTCATGCTATTACTTAATAAACAATTAGAAAATTAGGGATTATAATCCATTAAACTTAAATCCTAGGACTGTGAATCCTCAGACTATTTGGTTGGATTGGATGTGTATCCTGTGTTTATTTTCTCATTGGCTTAGATGTCTGGAAATGACTATTTTTTGTGAATCTAATGTTTGGTTGGATGAATTGGATAAGGATAAATGTGCAAAAAACTATTTTACCATTTTTTAATTGTTTACTAAGTAATAGCAATATTAAACATATCTTTAATATTTTAATTATTTTTTTAGCTAGATTAAATAAAAATTTATTTTATTTTATTTTTTACACAATTAAATAAATTTATTTTTAAAAATAAAATAAAATAAATAAAATATCAATGAAAATATATGTTATTTTTTTAATTAAAATTTTAAATAAATTTATTTTAAAAAATAAAATAATGAAATAATGAAATTAAATAAAACAAAAAGTCAAAATTGTTCAAGAAAGACAAGAAAGTCAAAATTGTCCCGTGTGTGCCTTGCACGAGTGGAATTTCTGTCGAAAATCCCAACGGCGGTTAACTATTGGGCCAGTTCGAGCCAAAAAACAAACTGCAGGGGCAAAATTGACACATTTAGAAGTGCAGGGACCAAAATGAAACTACGGGTAAACTATAGGGACCATTTCTGTAATTTGTCTAAAAAAATTACAAACATAGATAAATAAATATATACTAAATTATTATTTTTTAAATATTTTCCAATTGTCATATTTTGAAATGATAATGTTTTCTCAACGGTCATATTTTCAAACGGTAATCTTCTCTCCACAATCATATTCTCTAACGTTGTGTTTGGTTGAGGGATTTGCGAAGGAATTTTGAAAGGAAAATGAAAAAAACGTGTGAAATTAAGTGAAATATAAATATATTTTATTTATATTTCACTTACTTATTCTATTTCTCTTTCTAAATCCCTTCTCAAATTTTCCAACCAAACAAGTATAAGGGACATATTTCCAACTGTCATCTATTTTTGTTTATAAAAGCGATTTGCTCTTTCATTTTTACCAATTGGAATTACATTTCTCAACTTCATTCAATTTTTAATTACCATGGTTCAATACCATGAAAATGATTCTTAACGACTCTGATATTGATAGCGTATTGCCACTAATAATGACTTTGATGCCAACAATTAGGGTTTTTTTTTTTTATTTCTTCTTCATCTCCTAAACACTATATTTGGCTTAGGGTTTTCAAATTCATTATTATTATTTTATTTTTTTTGGCAATTAAAGTTCACAATGTCTTATTCATCATACTTTATGGTTTTATTATTTGTACATGTGAAACTTGATATTTTTTGGGCATTTTTAATAATATCAAGCTTTATTCCTATTTTGGCATTTTTTATTTCTAGAGTTTTAGTCCCGATTAGCAAAGAAACTTTCTAGCTATGAATTGGGTATAAAACCAATAGGCGATGCCTGGTTACAATTTTGAATATGTTATTGTATGTTTGCTCTAGTTTTTGTCGTTTTTTATGTTGAAACGATTTTTGTTTATCCATGGGCAATGAGTTTCGATGTATATACTCTTGAAATAGCACAAGCTAATTTGAAGAAAGCGGAAGGTAAGAGACAAATAATTGAGGCAATAGCTCTCAGACAAGCTAGGACACGAGTCAAAGCTATCAATTTGATTTTGTAACTAGTCTAGTTGGTGCTTCTATATAGCAATTCTAGTTTAGAACCAACCCATTTGATATTCTGGATCCGAGTTTTATTGTATTATATAGTTGATTATGTTTTGTTTCTCCTTATTCCTCATTAAGTTTGGTTATTGTAGGATTATTGTCGTGTTTGGAACAGGTTGGTATCTTGTTTTCCAAAGAGTTGATTGCCCAAATTTCTGCTTGTTTGCTAGAGCGACGCTTCTTGTGCTCGAGCGGTCTTTTACAGTTCACAAACTACTGAGAGGTTGATATCTACGCTTGAGTGATGTTTTTTGCGCTCGAGCAAACCTTTGCATGTCTGAGTTACTGGGAGTGTGCATTGTGCACTCAAGCGACCATTCTTGCGCTCGAGCGGTATCTTCGTTGTGTCTGATTACTCAAGCGACCATTCTTGCGCTCGAGCGATCTGTGCGTATATCAGTCCGAGGAAGTCACTTTTTGACTCACTTTTCATATATCTGTCTCTCTCTCTAAACTTTCAAAAAAACCCTAGATCTAGAGCTTCTCTCTCTAAAACTCACATTCTCTCTACAAATGCACTCTCATCCATTGATTTCTTCACCCTATTGCCTTTGTTAAGAAGGTAGAGCTCATCTAGAGTTTCATTTTAATCGAAACAAAGTTGGATTTCAGTATTTTTGAAGTTTCTCCGTTCACTCTCTCATCTTTTAAGCTTGAGGTAGGGAATTCTCTACACTTTCTTATGATTTTTAACTTAGCTATTTGTGTTTTGAAACAATATTGTGATTTTTGAACAAATCTAGGGTTTTGGGCAAAAAAAAAAAAATCAAAAGAGGGGTTTTCAAATGAATTCTTGAAAATGATTGTGGGATTGGAAATGAGGTTGAGTTGTGATAAATGGCTGGTCTTTATACTTGGAATTGATTTTGGAAGAAAATGAGATTTTGCCCTAAATA